CTCTCTCTCTCTCTCTCACACACACACACACACACACACACACACACACACACACACACACACACACACACGAACTCCAGCACTTGTGAGACTAAAGCAGAGTAGAAAGTCCAAGGCCAGCCTGGACTACGGAGTGAAATATTGCCTCAAAAGAAAAAGAGGTGGGGGGGGAATGTGCCCACATTTTAAATTTACAGCTCTAGGAGAAATGTCAGGCCAATTCTCCACCATGCAGGAGTCCCATCCCCAGCTGCTCAAATCCTCCTGGTTCCCTCCTTGGCAAGCAAGCCTGTTTCTCCCACAAAGTCATCTGGGTCTGTCTCTGAAAACTGAAATGCCCCCCTCCATGTCAACAGCAAAGACTTTTGCCCTTGAAGGATCTGTATTCTTTCACAGTCCTCAGGCTATAGCCTACAATAAAAACCTACTGGATTCTGGCTTTCTTCCATGGTATCCCATGAAGGACAGTCTGGTGACATAAAGCAGGAGGTGTTCTTGATGATATAACATGCTTCCTGACAGACTTGTGAGGTGGAGTAAAGGCAGGCCTTGACCTGAAGGACAAGGAGCCAAGCAGAGAGCTGGACTGTGCAAGGGTGGGACAAGGGTCTCTGCAGTTCCCATAGCTCCCTCTGGAGCACCACCCCAGTGGCTGCACCAGCCTCTCCAGCTCTACCATCCAGAGATGTGCAAGCTCTTGTGACAGATGCAGCATGGGGAGTTACTAAGTTTAAGTGTTCTGTCTCCTCTGTAAGCAGAAGCAAGAGACCTGTCCTCAAGCTGCTGGGAGGATGCAGTGAGACAGACTGCCAAGTATCCAAGAGACCTACCCAACACTGCCTAGCTCCCCAACACACTCCCCATGTCTACCCCAACACTCCTGGCTCCCCAGCACCCTTCCTAACCCCACCTCCATATTCTGTTTCCCCAATAACCTCCCTGTGCTTGGCCAACCTGCTACCCCAATAATCTTTATAAACATTTTTTTTCTTCACCTCCAAAAAAACCCCAAGCCAGGCCAGGATAGGATGCCTTTCCCTACCATACCCAGTCTTCTCAGTTCTACACGTTCATTCAGCACACCCCTCTAGGGTACCTGACACAGATCCATTAACAATCAAAAGGAGGTTCATTAGCCATACTGTGGTACTGGACAACAGTAGTGGAAACACCTTCAGAAACAGAACAAAGGGTAACCACAGAACCTAAGGCCCAAAGAACCCAGGGGGGAAAGCCATGAACTGGTGATAGAAGGGGCAGACGGGACCTGGACTTGGATGGGAACAGGCTGAGAAGTGGATGCAGTATGGGAAGTACTCTAGACACAGGCGGTATTCACTGCTTTATGTGTGCAACAACACAGCAGGGCATCCATGATCAGACCAAGCCAGGCTCCAACAACAGATAAGAGAAATGGGACCACTTCTCCAACATTAAAGCTACCAGTAAGATCCCCAAACCTCAAACCAGACAGAAAATCATGTACCCAACAGATGGAGGAGTTCGGTCGGCCCCCATGACAGCAGAGCAGAGCAGCAGACACTCACAGCCTGGGCCAGGGCTGCTGCACCTGTGAGTCCCACAGACCAATGAGGCGATCAGCTTCCCTCCAGCCAGACAGGAGGGCCCCATGTGTGGTGGAATAAAATGTCCGATGTGTGGCTTCCCCAGCGAAGAGTATCTGGAGCTGCAGAAAACAGACCAGATTAGAACAGCAATGCGAGCGGGACAGCTATGGAGAAACACACAGGAAACAGAGCCCCTGGCCACCCATCTGCAAATGTGCAGAAGACATCATTACCCACGCCAGGCAGGTGTGAGACCGAAGAGATACCCAGGTGGTGGGGCCCTGAACCATGATCAGAAGGGTCGCTGAACTACCATGGGAGAGTGAGGCTGAACCGAATACACCACACAGTGGTGAGGAGTCACTGCCTACAACCAAAAGTGATGTGACATGGCAATGCAAGCTGACAAGGACCATGAGACAGACACCTGGGAAACTGAACAGTGACTACCAGGTGATCCTGAGTTGCTGTCTTAGAGATACGCACCGGGATATCTGCATGGAGGCATACTCAATAAGTTAAGGGGCAATGGGCAGACCCTGCCGGGGGTGGAGCACCTACTACCCCACCCACTGCTCTACAATTGATGACTTCCATAATTAAATTGTTTTAAAACAGGGTCTCACTATGTGGCTCTGGCTGGCTTGACTTGACTCTCACTCTGTATACCAGGCTAGCCTAGAACCTGTAGTGACTTTTCTAGCTGGGATTACAAAGGCCTGAGCCACCATGCCCAGCTAAATGTCTTGAAGTGACGGTGTGAACATGTGCTCTCACTATTAGAATCAGACGGAGAGCTGTGGGAAGTGCCAGTAAGGGGCAGAGTACCTGCCTGGCATGCTCAGGGCTTCATCCCCAACACAAAGAAAAGGAACTAAAACAGCCGGAGGCAGAGTCTGGGAGGAGATGGTATTCCTACCAGCTACTTCTGGTTCATTTTAATTCTGTGGCAAGCACTGTGAAAGTCCTTAAACCATGGGTATGTGTGATTCTGATACGAATAACACATTTTCCATTTGGGTCTGAATTTGTTGAGACTGTCTTACTAGCCTTGGCTGGTCCAAAACTTGTTCTATAGATCAGGCTGGCTGTAGACTCAAAACAGTCCTCCTGCCTCTGCCTCCTGAGTGCTGAGATTATGAGTATATGCCAGCACATTCAACTTTACGTTACTCCTATTTTCAAAAAGAAAATGGCTCTGAGTCTTTGAGGTCACTGCCCCACCCATCACTCACAGCACACCATGTTTAGGCCTTAGCAGCAGGATCCCCGGTGGCTCACACCAAGGCAGGCCACTATACCTGGGTACCAGTTTCATCAGCAGGGAGGGGCTGAGCCAGCAGATCTAGGTCATCGCCAGTACTGCCAACAGCCACATAGCTGTAGGAACCTAGGGTGTATGGGGCACTGTGCCAACGAGACCTCATCACACTCTTGGCCGCTGGCATTTGTGGGTTTCCTGAAACACAGAGATGTGGCACATTAACCCAGAACTCTCACTAACCTGGAAGAAAACCAAGCCAATGTGTGTTTTCCTAAGGCGTCCTGCCTCGGCTGCTCTTCCAGCACCACACAGGGACCGCTGGTGCCAATAAGCAACACCATGAGATGCCTTGTGAAAGTGAACTGACATGCCCTTCTGAGCCTCAGTTTCCCTACCTGAAAGCACCTAACTAGGGACAACTGCATGTGTTTTGGGTGGAAGATTTTAGAAAATAAAACTAGCAAGTGTTTGCACACCGTTACTAGCCCACTGCCTAGGAAGAAGGCTGTCTTGGAAATGTGCAGAGCAGAATCCATCCTTCCCTGTTCTGGGTTTACTTCCTCTTTAGAGACTGGCCAATAAGAACATATGGCTGGGGAGTACCTGTCACTCTCCGGAGTACTTCGGTTAGAGAAAGAAGCACTTCTTCATCTGACAGAGTCTCCATAAACTCCGACTCAAGGCCAGCAATGAACCCACAGAGCACATGTGAAGACCTGTATGCACAGAAAGATAGAGACTACGCCAGGGCCAACACCACCCAGAATAGTCCCCCAGAGCTCTCCCAGGGTCTCAGCTATTTACACAACACTAAGGCAGCATGTGATGTGCTGCTTCCACTTCGTCACTTGTACCAATGTGCAAGAGAAGAGCTGGTAAACCATCCCTCCGAGAATGGAAGCCTCAATGAGCCACACCAGTAGGCTCCATGTTCTTCACCACCAGGCACAGTGGGGGAGGGGGTGAAGGGTTCTGATTTCACCTGAAAAGGTCCTTGGTGAAATAGTAAAAGCTGATGGTTTTATTAAATTTTGGCCCTTGGCTGCATTTTTCTATATCTGTGTGAAGAAATAAGAAGAGGCATAAAGAACTTTTAGAATGCCGTCAGTGAGTCTGGGGCCAACAGACCTAGCACTTCCTCCACATACCTCGTCTTTATACACAGGGACACCTCATCAACCATGATACTGAGCAGATATTTTCTCAGGGGAAAAAAGTGCACAGTATATATTGATAACAATGAAATCTAAGCTCTCAAGCAAAACCTGGAATTTCAGCAAAATTGTATATGTTGCCAACAGTGTAACAGCTTCATGCTACTGACAGTCTTCAGATATCAGGGGTGATGTTGATAAACTTAACTTTGGACATTACTGCATGAACCAACATTTTCTGAACGACACAAATTATGCCAAGGTAAAAGCCAGTGAATTAGCTATAGGCTCCATGAGAGACCCTGTCTTGAAAAACTGGGTAGAGAGTGACAGAAAAAGATCCCTGAAGTCAACCTCTGGCCTCCACACATAGTAAGCATACACACATATATACAAACACACATGGTGGGGGGAACATATTTTCTCAAATGCGTTGAATTTAAAAGGTGGCAGAGTTTTGCTTGTCTTCAATGCTCATTGATACGTGGCCTAACAGAGGACACAGGAGTCTCAGCTGCTTCCGTCCTCATTTATACTGAACTTTATCTAGACAGATATGGGGTTAGGAAAAAGGAACAGCAAGGTGGGAGAGAAGGCTTAACGGTAAAGGAGCACTGGCTTCTCTTCCAGAGGACCAAGGTTCAATTCCTGGCTCCCACACTGTGGCTAACAACCCTCTCCAACTCCAGTTCCAGGGAGTTGCCCTCTGTTGGCCTCCTCAAGCTCGGCACGAACGTGGTGCACAGACATACATGCAGAGCAAACACACACACACACACACACACACACACACACACACACACACATACACCAATCTTAAGAAAAAGGGAATAATATTCATGTGATTTTTCAGAAAATGTTGTTTTTCAATGCTAGTGGGACACGGAGTCTAAGTCCACGGCAGCCATGGCCTGTTTCCACACTCCTTGAAAGTCAGTTGCACTCCTATGAAATGGCTCCCTCTCTCCCTCCTTCCCTCCCAGGCAGAAGGCTGCTCTGCAGCTGTGGGCTCCTGCTGCCACTTAGTCTTTTAGGCTAAGAACATGGCCCTTTCCTGCCAGGTCTCTAAGTGGAATGAGGACTTCTTCCTCCACACGACATTAGTTCAGTGTGTTCTGACGCTATCAGAATCAGTCCCGTCCGAAACCATGCATGGTGATACTTCCTGAATTAGTACCTAGTCCATGTACACTGCTTTGTAGGATGGCTGAGTCATAAGTTGAGACCTTCATCTGTGGGTCTTGTCTATCTTTTGTAGATAGGATTTCACTATATGGCCCAGACTAGCCTCAAACTCATGTTCTTCCTGCCTCAGCCTACCTAGTATAAGGATTACAGGAGTATATCACTATGCCTGGTTAACTGTGGGTCTCTGCTTCCATTATGTAGAAGGGTCTTTCCATCCCACTTAAGTACTACTTCTCCAGGTATAGACAGATCCATACTTCAAATATCTTTGTATCTACAAATCACAACTTCCTACAGAATTTCAATATACTTTTTTAAGACCAGACATTCCAGGAATCCAAGAAGACATTCCTGGCCTCCGTTTGTCTCTCAGGGAGCCAGGCTGCAGTATGTAACCAACACTTTGGGGGCTCATGTCCTTCCTCCAGTGAAACCCTCAGAAACACTGGTAACGAAGCACACACAGCTGGGTCCTCCAAGAGGCTAAGGTGAGTAAGCAGGTGAGAGATTCCCTAGAGCTCCTCGATGCATACATACTCAAAAGGAGGCAGGACCACAAAGCCAATGAGTTTCTTGAACCAGGTGTCTTGGAGTGAGAGGGCTGTGTCCTGTAGGGGTGATGTGTCCTCCCATACCACCTGGATGAACTGGCAGTCGGGCTCCCAGAAGGGCTCCTCAAACTCCAAAAAGATTTTGTTGTTGGTACCAAAGCCTAATTTTTTGATGGCTTCTGCCTTTTGGGCAGGCAGTGGTGGCTCAAAGAAGGTATCTTGATGTTCTTTGAGAAAACCTGCAATTCAGAATTGGATGTGGTTTAAGATACAGGTCCTGTGGTATATGCCTTTAATCCCAGCACTCGGGAGGCAGAGGCAGGAGGATCTCTGTGAGTTAGAGGCTGCCCTGATCTACAGAGTGAGTTCCAGGACAGCAAAAAGATACGTTTTAACTAGAATCTCCATCAACAGGAACCTGACTTGATTGTACAAAGGGCTTCTAAGCATCTCATACATTCATTCAGGTCCCTGGAGACAAATTCCAAAGGCTGGACCATCAGGACTCAAGGTTGACTGCTACCAAATACTGGAGGAGTACTACAGACCCCCTCGTCACAGACTCTGTGGGGACATCTCACTCCTGACCTTCCACTTCTAACTGCCAGTCATACTGCTCAGGGTCAGTCTGTAGTAGTCACCACACAAATTTCACCCAGAAGGCTTATTTTGCCTTTCACTGTGCTAGAAATTGAACCCGGGGCCTCATACATGCAAGCACTCTGTCACTGAACACACTTAGACGAGTCTAAATAGAAAAAAAAAAATTAGCCCACAGTCAGACAAACAACAGTCAAAGCAGAGGAGAGAACATTTGCTTGAAGCCAGTAGGAAAGGAAGGGCAAGGCCTTTAATCCCAGCCTGTGGAAGGCATGAGCAGGTAGATCTGAGTTTTTGACACCAGCCTGGTTTACACAGTGAGTTCCAGGCCATCCAGGGCTACATGGTGAGACCCTATCTCAAAATAAAAATTAAAACTTAAAAAAGGAAGGAAGGAAATCAGTAGAACAGGAAGCCAGCAAGGCCACGAGCAGGCACATGACAGGGACAATTTCCCCATACACAGTGGGCATGGGAGAGGAGGCATTCTATCTAGGTCTTCAAGAACAAACTGTTCCTCAATCTATGAAGAGGTAGCCACAGAAGCACTTGGAAATTTACATGTAAACACCATGTGAAACAGGGAAGTGAGAACTCCTAAACTCCCACCAGTATTTATTAATAATGACATCTCTACACAAGAAAGTATTAGCCAGGTGTGGCAGCTCATGCCTGTAACCCCAGCACTCAGTGCTACAAAATGTGATAGAGTACTTTCATCCATCTGAAAATCCTTAGATGAAAGCATGAAGTCAACAGCTGAGCAAATACCCAGAGCCAGGGGAGGGTAGGAAAAGCCAGGGGCCACTGGTGCCTGGGGTAGGGATAGAGACAGAAAACTCGATCAGAAAAAGTGAGTTCTACCTAAGGGCACGGTGACGATGACATGATGAGCAGGCAGGCGGGTACCATCTTCACACTCCACCAACACAGGGAAGGTCTCCCCTGGAAAAGCAGCTTCCTGGAAGGACCCATTCCAATGAATGGTCTTCACCGGCTTGTCAAAAACCATCGAATCCTTGGGCAGGGAAGCCAGTATGCAGTTGGTAAGTCCTTGGTAACCACTAGAAGAGACAGAAGTCGATATGTGGCAAACCAGGCCCTGGAAGGGTAGCCATGGCAGAAATAGGCCATCCAAGGTGCTACCCACCAGCCTCAATGGGAGCATTACTCAGAGCCAGAAAGGGAGGCAGAGGCAGAGTGCCTTGGTGGGGCAATCCCTTAAAACACAAGACCATTTAACATCTACTTCCTGGCTAATGAGGGTCACAAAACTGACTAGGCCACATGAGAATGAGAGCTCCCCACTACCACACCAGCCCCATATTTGTGCACTTCCTGAGTCACAAATGCCTACCAGCGGAACAGAAGCCTTGGGCTTGACTGGGGGAGTGGGGGGCAGCCCTGCCAAATGCTTATTATGTGCCTGGCAACAGGCACAGCCCTGTCTACCGTCGGGGAGGAACCTTCTAGCTCCTCTGTACCTGAAGCCCCTTGTGTAACACCTGGCACATTCGAGGCCTCAGGAAATCAGAAGAAATGAGCATTCAAGATATTTCCTTCTCAATTTCCTAGAAACATTCTTGCTTAAACAAACAGAACTAGGAGAAAAAGCAACCAATTTCTCTGAATGGGGAGGGCAGTTCCCTCACCTGCCCGCTCCGGGCCTCCTCTCTCTCCTTTTTCCCTCCTTTCTCCAGCCTAGTGCCTCTGCCCAGACAGGATGGGCAGACTGGCAGAGCTGTGACCCATACCCAGCCAAGGTGCAATCCAGTCCCGGCAGCACTGTATACTCCCCGAATGGTGCAAGGGCCACCAGGTCCATGCTATGGGTGCCGCTCACGCAACACTCTGTATTGAAGAAGGCATTCAGGATAGCCAGCTTGAGTTTCTTGGTGTCCTCATCCTCAGTCCAGTTAGCCACCTGCTGACTTAGCTCCTTCTTCAGGAACTCTCCAACGCTGGCCACTGGGGTCTCAGGGGCATTCAGGAACTCTCTGGTTCGGTCTATTAGTCCATAGTACAGATTGCCCATCTCTGTCACCAGCTCCGGGATCACACATGTTCCAGAGCTGGTATAGCTCACAGAGGGCAGGGCCACGTGCCCTCCTGTCTCCACCAGCTGGTTCTCCTCTGATAACTCTTTCTCCCCCAGGAGCCCGAACTTCGCAGCCAGCTGGAAGACAGGATTGCCCTGGGAGGGCCCATGGATCCAGTGTGCACCCAGCTCCACTACACCACCTAGGAGGACACAGGAAACGCTACCTGTAAGTTCCCTCTCCAGAAAAATCAGCCCCACCCTTTCCCAAGCATACTCTCGAGGACATCTTGAGAGTCACACGGTCCCATTGTATCCCAGGACCTCAGGATCCCTCAGGGTCAAGTGGTTCCCAAAGGCAAGGCTTGGCCAGATCAAGCTTAGGGAAATCCTGGGGAGAGGCAAGTCGGCCTGTACCGGCTTCGGAGGTCACTTAAAGAGAAACCGAGAGGAAACCCCAGGGCTGAGCAAGGAAACTGCAGGGTTGCCTTCCCTGGTGTGTACTCTCCTAGCTTTGGGCAGATCACTTTCGGGGTCCGGTGAACGTGGGTGTGTGTTCCTTTACCCCAAGAGACTGAAAAAGCTTCCTGGATCAGTACCAGTCGGATGGGGTCCGGGGTCAGTCAAGGGGCCCAAGGGGCGGTTACCGAAGCAGCGTTCCGAGCGGATGCGGCCGCCAGCGCCGGCAGTGGCCTCCAGGACCCGCAGGTGTGGAGCAGCCGGATGGCTGCAGAGTCTCTGCGCAGCGCCCAGTCCAGCGATGCCGCCGCCCACCACCAGCACCCGCGGGCCGCCGGAAGCCATAGCTTGCTCAGGGTCCTCCAGCGACCGGTGGCCCTAGGCCGCCCCAGCGGAGGCGGGCGGGGCGGGGTCAGAGGCGGGGAACTAGGTGGAGCTATGTCGGGAAGGAGCAAGAGAGTGTGCGTGGGGCTGGGGGTGGGGTGAGGGCTGGGGCCTATGGGAAGCCAGAGGGACCAGGCGGGCGGCAGGCGAGGTCCCGGCAGCCTTGATGAACATTCGGAACTGGACCCGAAGAGAGGGAGGTGGATGTCCCGTGGCCTGCACTGTGTCAGCACTGTGTGATCCACGTAGGCTAGTGGCTCCCGGATGCGCCCATGCTCCAGGTGCTCTGAGCCGCGCCCCTCCTGTTTGGATCCGCCCACAGTCGCCTTAAGAGGGGTGTGGGTGTGGCTGCCATAGGTCAATGTGAGCCAGCATCCCTACAAGGGTACTTGGTCTTCCAGAGGCATCCTTCCTGGCTCCTATAAGCAGAGAGTGCACCATAGCTCTAGTCTCCTTTCTACTAGAGTATCAGCTCACACTGGAACCTGCTTAGGAAATGTGTAGTCCTTGACCCCCATGCTTACTCAAAGCGTGAAGACAGGGATCCTTTAAGCTGAGAACACTGATCTGGCCAAGCTCTGCTAGAGCAGCACTCACAGGCTAAGGGGTCTTATAGAATATTAAGGTGTGTTACTTTTGTTTATGTTGCATTTGTTTACTCTGTGAAGCTGTGTTACTTTGCCTGTCTAAAACACCTAATGGTCTAATAAAGAACTGAACGCTCAATAGTGAGGCAGGGGAGAGAAATGGGTGGGGCTGGAAGGCAGAGAGGATTAGTAGAAGGAGAAATCTGGGAGGAAATAAGAAAGAGCCAGAGAAAGAGGAGGACATCAGGGGGCAGCCACCCAGCTACACAGCAAGCCAGGGTAAGATTTACAGAAGTAAGAGATCGGGAAAATCCCAGAGGCAAAAGATAGACAGGATAATTTAAAATTAAAGAAAGCTGACAAGAAACAAGCCAAGTTAAGGCCAAGTGTTTATGATTAAGAACAAGCCTCCATGTGTGATTTATTATTGAGAGCTGGGTGGTGGGCCACCCAAAAGAGTAAAAAACAAGCAAACAACAGAGGGGTAAAATGTCTTTGCCCCATTCACTCAGTCCGCCCACTCAGAGCAAGTAGAAGTGGTATAGGGAAATAAAACTCACCAGTTGTATGCTATGGATAAGGGGCGATGGCTCTGACAGGGATGGGAATCCTGATCCTATGCGTGAATCCCTTTCTGGAGAAGGTATATTCTAAAGAGCAGGTGGTATGTGCTCTCCACTCAGCTCTTAGAACATCACCCTTGTTCACTTGCACAGTTAGTGTGTTTAACAGGCTCTTGAGAGTTGGGAGCTGAAGCTGACCTCCAAAGAAAAGATAGCAAAGGCATCCCACCCTACATCTATCAAAGAAATGGACCTAGAGACAAAGAACTCTACCAGGTCTGGTTCACTCAAAATGCCAGCCTTTAATACCCACCATTTTCCTCTACTCAGTCTTAAAACTTCTGTTAACAACTTGGTTTCGCCGGACATAGAAAATCAAGTTGGAACTGATGCGAAAACTTCCTACCTGCTGGCTAGTTCTCATAGTGCCAAAAGTTGCTATGCATGCCGCTGTAGGAGAAAAGTCATCAGTGTCAATTCCCACATGCTACAACACTGACTGCCAAGTAAGATGTGCCCACTGGCCCAATAGGAGCACAAAGGTTATAAAGATAACCAACTGGGTTAGATTAAAAACCTGCTCCAAAGGAGAGAATTCATGCTTATTACTGTAAACCAGATCTAAAGTTTAGGAGGTCTTGAGCCCTAGGGGGAAGGAAGGACCTACTGCCATCTTGCTAAATCTTCACGTTGTCAAACTGCCTTCTAAATGTTTCTGTTTGGTTGTTTGTTTGTTTGTTTTTTTCCTATTGTTTGGTTGGTTGATTTGGGTTTTTTATTTGTTTTGTTTTTGTTTTTGAGACAGATTTCACTGTATAGCCCTAGCTGTCCTGGAACTCACTCTGTACACCAGGCTGGCCTCAAACTCAGAGATCTGCCTGCCTCTGCCTCCCAAGTGCTGAAATTAAAGGTGTGCATCACCACCGTCTGGCTTATGTTTATGTTTTTACTCACAGGTTAGTGCTGTTCTCAACCTTGGCCAGAGATGTTTCTTCTGCAGTGGGCAGCAATTAATGCAGAGACTCACAACTAGTCCAAGTGACAACATTGAATAGAGCATCTGTATCATCCTCCACCCCCAAGGCTCAGGGAACATCAAGGAGAGGGAAGGGAAAGAACATATGAGCCCTGGGGTTGAGAGACCACATACTGCTCTTCCAGAGAACTGGCGTTCAGTTCCCAGGCCAGCACCCACACCAGGTGGTTCCCAAGCACCTGTAACTCTAGCTTCAGGGATCTGATTCTCCCTTCGAGCCTCTGTGGGCACCCATGCATACATGGTATGCATACACACATGAATTAAAAGCTAATAAAAAAATTTTAAATTAAAAAAAATGTAACAACCAGAGGATGGAGAGGCATGCTATGAAAAGTATGGACATGGTAGGGCCACTGTGTTCATGAACACGCTGCAGCAATGATGACCTACACAAGATCAAGCCAATATCTATCAACATTCTAACAGGCAGCACTAATTGGGCACAGTGGGTTGCAAAAAGGAGGAGGAGCCTTGAAGGGGAAGGGGGATGCGTTGAAGGTGCTTTGGGAAGTGGGAAAGATAGTTAGGGATTGATATCATCAAGATACATCATTTATACTATGAAACTGTTAAAAGATAAATAAAAGATCTTTAAAAATTCTTTTAACAGAGAAGAGCTTGGGACCCAGTACCCTTCCCTTCGAGCACAGACTGGATAGATTAACCTGTCTCAGTTGGTGTGTATTTTTTTGGTTTCTCTTTCATCTTTTCTATAAAATTGGTTTTTTGTTTGGGAGGGTTTAAAGGGGGCCTGTATAGTCCAGGCTGGCCTCAAACTTGCTATGTAGGCATGACTGATCTTGAACTCCTGACCCTCCTTCTTGAACTTCCCTAGTGGGGTTGCTGTGTACCCCACCATGCCTGACCTTTCCTATACAATTGTAACCCTGCTATAGGGAAGGTATAGTCTGCAAATACATCTATTTTCATTTTCCAATTCCTATTTTAATTTCTTTGGGATACAAGAAAATTAAGGTGGAAACTTGTTTTGTTTTGTTTTTTGAGACAGGTTTCTCTGTGTAGCTTTGGTGCCTGTCCTGGATCTTACTCTGTAAACCAAGCTGACCTTGAACTCATAGAGATCCACCTGGCTCTGCCTCCCAAGTGCTGGGATTAAAGGCGTGCACCACCACTGCCCAGCAAGGTAGAAACTTTGAATGAAGTGCCTGGTAATAACACTTTGGGCCTCCAGAGGTACAGGGCAGGGACAGTAGTGTTTCTTGTCTCCTGGATGTAACACCACAGTCTGAATCAAAAGGCTGCCCTGCAGCTGAGGTAGTCACATGCTCATAAACAGACCACTGGAGACTAGGCAGATATAGTCACATGCCATGTTTGACACCACAGATGATACCTCCTTTGTGACTGACTTAACCAACCAGGCTTGTTCATTTTTGTTTTAAAGAAAGACTTATCAATATAGTATTTGCATGTACTTCACCCACATCATGTGTATAAGCCAGTGGCTTTCAGCATACTGGCAGAGTTGTACAGCCACAACAAAGTCCAAAATGTTTTCATCACCCTGTTCTGGATGGTTCACATGAAGAGTTAGTTAGACAGGATGAGGCCTTTGTGAATGGCTGTCACTGATCATGATGCTTTCAAGGTTTTTCCACATTACATTGTATATCAGTACTTACTCCTTTTCATGGAATTCAAGACTTTGGGCACCCTAGGCAAGAATGTTACCACTGAGCTATACCTTCAGTTCCCACAGTATATTCTAACATATTAAAAGGCATCCATTGACCCAGTGTGGTACCACATGCCTTTAATGCCAGCATTTGTGAAACAAAGACTGTTGTGAAATATTCCTTTGCACTGTGTAAAGAAATGTCACTGTGACTAGTTTAATAAAAAGCTGAACATCCAGTACCTAGGATTTTCAGGCACAGAGAACACTGGGAAGAGGAAAGGGGGAGTAGACAGACAGACAGAGAATAAGCAACATGGGCAGTACAGAGTAATAAAGCCACGAGACAAAAAGTAGATTGATAGAAATGGTTCATTTAAGTTGTAAGAGCTAGTTAGTAACAAGCCTAAGCTATCAGCCAAGCTCTCATGATTAATAATAAGTCTCCATGTGGTGATTTGGGAGCTAGCAGGAGGGACAGAAAAAAAAATCCACCTACAAAAGATAGGCAGATTCCAGGCCAGCAAGGGTAATATAGAAGACCCTGTCTTTAAAAAAAAAAAAAAAAATCTAAGGTGTCCACTATACAAACATAGGGTCTTTGATGAGCATTTAGGCTATTTCCACTTTTTGGTCCTTGTGACTAATGCTGCTTATGTACCTACAAGCTGCTGTGAGGCTGTGTTTTCATGTCTCCTGGGTATGCACCTAGAAGTGGGTTTGCTGTTTTAACTTTTGAGACAGTGGCAGGCTTCCAAAGTGGCCATTCTTAGGGCTGGTGGTTGTGGCTATGTTGTGCAAGGCCAGAGTTCAATCTCCAACAACATGTACACACATACACCTCACAAAGGCAAAGTGACCCCACCAATTTGTACTCCCACCACTGAAGTCAAATAGGTAGGAAAGAGCAATTATTAGACATAGCGATTATTTATTGATTTACGTAAAGCATTGCTTGTACTGCCTATTTGCCAAGCATGGCTTCAATTGCTGTCTGGAACAGAACGACCTAGAGAAATCGCTGAAACAATGGGTCATTCCCCCTTAACAACCTGCTGACTGCCACATAGGTTTCTGTAAAACCTCGCTTGCTTGCCTGCTCCCCCACCCCACCCCCACCCGGGTCTTAGAGTATAAAACGAAAACAAACTAGCCCTGGCTGTAAGCCTTTCAGGGGCCGTCCTGGCTTCAGGCCACCGGCGGCATCTCCTCTTCCACTTTCATTGCTGTCTGAATACTTATTCTAGAAAGATCCCACACACACACAACACCACCAATGTCGAAGGCTCCAGCTTTTCCACATGCTCTCCCACACTTACTGTTAACTTTTTATTACGGGCAGCCTTATAGGTATGAAGTGGGTTTGATTTGTATTTCCCTAATGACTAATGGTGTTGGGTATCTTCTCATATCCCTCAGACATTACATCTTTATTGAAGAAATGCATGTTCATCCTTTGTTCTTTACAGTTCAATTGACTCTTACTATTGGGTCATAAGAGTGCGTTGGATATTCTAGACACAAGGCCTTTACCAGACGTAAGACTTGCAGAGACTTTTCTCTCATCCTGCTTGTGTCTTGTGTCCCCAGTCTTGATGGTTTCCTTTGACACAGAAGTTTTTGGTGGAATCTAGTTTATCCTTGAGTGGCTCTTCTTGTTCGCCAGTGTGACTACATCACAGGGCACATCTGTGAGGTGTTTTCCTTGACTGGATGATTTGAGGTAGGAAGACCACCCTAAATCTGGGCCACTGGGCCTGGAGAGATGGCTCAGTGGTTAAGAGCACTGGCTGCTCTTCCAGAGGACCCAGGTTCAATTCCCAGCACCCACATGGCAGCTCACAACTGTCTGTGACTCCAATTCCAGGGGATCCAACACCCTCACACAAACATACATGCAGGCAAAAAAAAAAAAAAAAAAAAAAAAATCTGGGCCACATCCTCTTGTGGCAGCCTATGTAAAGGACATAGAAGAAAAAAGCTTTTGCTTTTGGCCTGTCCACCCTCATTCTCACTGGCCAGTTCACATATCCTGCTGTTGAGGCATTCCCTCACTGCTTTTAGAGCCTACTCCTTCTGGATTCTGACTGTTCTGACCACCTGAGCCCTCCAGCCTTATGGACGTATTGGATTCTTGAACTTTTCATCAGGAGACAGTCTTTGTTGGACTAACTGGACCACAGCCTGCAAGCTCCAGAATGCACAGGGAACCCTGAGAGACATGGGGGCATCCCTTCCTCCAGGCAGGTACCCCAGAAACTGTTCCCCTTTCTCTCATGGGAACCTCCCCCAGGAACAGGCAGAAGCAGTATGATCATCCTGCCTCCTGCTGAAGAAAGACTGTTTCACTTTGCCTCTTTACCCTGGGGTCATATGCAGCAGACCCCTTGTGATCAGGGGTTCCAAGCCCACAGAACCACCAAGGGTTTTATAGGCAGGTGCCAAACACTGGGTACTGGGGTCGAGCTGTGTCTAGAAGTCATCTTAGGCTCCACCCAGCCAGTGATCCTCACATGTGATACTGTATCTCTCCTCTCAGGCCAGGTATGCCCATGCATGTAAGGAGATAGGGGAAATACCTTCTATCGGTTCTATTCCTCTAGAGAACCCTGACAAATATAATACTCTCACTCTTCTTCTTCTGTCCCTAAACTCAGAGAACAGTAGCCCCTGATCTCAACAACAGCCCTGCGTCGCTAGACAATCCCTGTGTTTGAGCCATTTCATTTTGGAACTGCTGTCACAGAAGCTTGGCCTATGCCTATATAAAGCCCCTCATCAGCAAAGGTTTGTTGGTGATCTGTTTCTGTTTCTATTCTACCTTAGTCTTGAAATAAAGTTTGCTGACTTTCTCTTGGTTTGAATTGTTTTCTTTACATTATCAATTTTGCTTTTGTCTGTAGATGCTATCCCAGTGTTTGCAGGACCAGGGCAAGAATACAAATAAAGACCTAATTAATACTTGCTAAACATTTCAAAGTTATAATTCAAGATAATTTATGTGAACAAAACCTCGGCTTTCTTTGAAATGTTTGTGAGTCTTCCCATCTTGAAAAAACACAGCTATTCCTAACCTGGTGTTATGAAGCTAGTTAGCTGCCACGTAAAGAATGCCTCTCGAGCAGAGTATGGTGGCGCACACCTTCAGTCCCCCAACTTGAGAGGCAGAAGCAGGCGAATCTCTGTGAGACCAGCAGACAGCCTGGCCCACATGGCCAAGCAGGGCTATGTAGTGAGACCCTGTCACAAAACTAAACAAAAATGCCTCTCACTTTACCGCTTTACGCTCTACGGCTACATCTACAATCACGCCTTCCAGCGGTCAAGACCAACAGCACAGGCAAGCGCAGGAGAAAAGACTCAGCTGCCTCTTCTAGCCTGTTCCTTGGTACTGTGCACCAGCCATGGGCACAACACCAACGCGGAGCAATTAGCAGCCTTCTCAAAGAACTGCAGCCCTGCATCGGCGACCATCCTCCCCACCCCGCCCCACCCTGCCTACGGCATCACCAGGCCCGGGTCACCCGTCTGTCCCCTTCGGCTTCCGTCTCCGGCCAGCCGGGGATCTGGGGCGGAGCGATTCTGCAGGCGGGGCGATTCTGCAGGCGGGACTAGTGTCTCTACGCCATGGCGGCCCTGCGTGCTCTGCTGCCCCGAGCTTGCAGCTCGCTGTTGTCCTCGGTCCGCTACCCAGAACTTCGGCGCTTCGCCTCGGGTGAGTGAGGACACCGGCGGGGTCCGTCACCTCACTTTGGGTGGACTCTCTCCTCGGAGCCTCCGGCTGGTTTCTTAAACCCCAGCCTCCACGCACCCTCGCTTGATCCTGGACCGTCTCTCCTGACTCCAGATCATTTGTCTGACCTCCACTTCCACAAGCATGCACTCCCAACGCTTGACTCTGAAGTACCTAGACCCTGGATTCCAGTGCTTATCCCCACTACTAAACCCAGATTCCTAGCTTGAAGCTCCTCCCACCCTTGCTCCTCCTTCGGAGCCCCCCCCTCCACTGCTCGCCTGACCCCTTACCCAATTCCATACCCCACTCTATTCTTGACCCCCTTAATCTGATCTTAGTCTCTCACCTAACAAGTCCAACCCGAGCTTAGCACCTAGAAGCCCTGTCTGTTGGGAGGGCCCTGGCTGTAATGGCAGCTTCTCAACCCTAGAACTTCAGTAAGTGCCAGGACCTCTAGCCAACTGGGAACTCCATGTGCATCTAGGTAGCTTTAAGAGACTGTGAAGGTAGGTTAAGCAAGGCAGGCTAAGTATTGGGGAAGGTTTGTCTACAGTGCCTCCTGTCCAGTCCCTCTTGGTCCACTGCCCTCGCCTGAGCCTGTCCTTCACACCGTCCAATCAGCGACGACCACACTGACACACCCACTTTCCTTCCCAGCCAGCCTGATAGTCCCTGCCTTTTCTCTCCTTGGCCGGGACTCTCCTGCAGCCATCTGGTGTTCCAGTGTTACCAGGGATTCTTGGCCATGCCCTGAGGCTAGCTAGGGCATCTGCACCTCAACCTGGATTGGCTGTCCAGTCCTGGCTCCACTGAGGGCAGCCATCCTACTGATCAACAGTGCACCTTACACTTAAGTTACTTCACACAGCACTGTGTTAAGAAACAAAACACCCAGAATACAGACCCTCACTTTCAGGCCTATCTTCCTCCTCCTAAATCCGTGGACTGCACCCCCCAAGTCTGAATTGGCTGCTCCTCCAGGTCACCTAATGGTGCTTCACATGAGCCTCTGTCCCACCAGACGTACTGCTCTAGCAAGCCCTAGGCTCTGTCCTGCTTTCACCTGTTGTCATGGTCTGGAAAGTGCTGGCATATAGGGTGTGGATGTGTGTGTGTGTGGGGGGGGTGTGTGACTGTGCTAGGGTTTTCTTTTTTTGTTATTTTTGTTTGTTTTTTTGAGACAGGATCTTACTATGTAGCTCTCCAGCTGGCCTGGAACTAGACCAGGCTAGCCTGGAACCCACAAAGATACACCTGCATCTGCCTCCTGAGTGCTAGGATTAAAGGCGTGTGCCATTGCCATCATGCCTAGGTAGATCATAGCCAGAGCTCCAGGCTGGCACGGTAAGGATGGTGCAGAGTCCCCTGTCTGTGCCTGTATCAGTCAGGGTTCTGTAACAGAGCAGAACTGATCAACTGAATATATATTATATTTGCTAATGTATAATATACATATATATTAAAGGGGGTTATTAGAGTGGCTTACAGGCTTCAGTCTGAATAGTCCAGCAATGGCTGTCCTCTGACGAAAAGGCCAAGGATTCAGTAGGTGTTCAGTCCAAGAGACTGGATATTTCAGCAGTCTCAATCTGGTTTTGGAGCCCAGAGAAGTCCTAGAGAGCTGAGGGTCTTCAGTGTACATTGGAATCCCAAAGAAATAGGCTCAAACACCAGAGAAGGAATGCCTAAGAATAGATTAGTTTGGGGCTGGAGAGATGGCTCAGTGGTTAAGAGCACTGGCAGCTCTTCCAGAGGACCTGGGTTCAATTCCCAGCACCCACATGGTGGCTCACAACCACCTGTAATGAGATCTCGTGCCCTCTTCTGGCCTGAAGGCACACATGCAGGCAGAACACTGTATACATAATAAATAAATAAATCTTTGGGGGGAAAAATGAATAGATTAGATGAGCTTGCCATTGAGAGTGAGGGCAAAAAGTAAAAGCTTCCTTCCATGTACTTTTATGTAGGCTGCCACCAGAGGTGTGGCCCAGATTTAGGGTCCAGTCTTCTTATCTCAAATGATCCAGCTAAGGAAATCCTCCACAGGTAGCTTGAGCTGCTTGGGTTTTAGTTGATTCCAGATGTGGTCAAGTTGACAGCCACGATTGGCCACCACAGTGCCTTTAATATCTTTATGATGACAATCCACGTTCGTCCTCTCGCCCCAGGTGCTAACTTTCAGTACATCATCACAGAAAAGAAAGGAAAGAATAGCAGCGTGGGCCTGATCCAGTTAAACCGCCCCAAAGCACTCAACGCACTTTGCAATGGCCTGATCGAGGAGCTCAACCAAGCACTGGAGACCTTTGAGAAAGATCCTGCTGTGGGGGCCATTGTGCTCACTGGTGGGGAGAAGGCATTTGCAGGTGTGCTGGGCAGCCATGGTGGTAGAGGGTAGGGGGATGCTGTGGCCTGTGGGAAGCAGCAAAATGGACCAGTTTCTCTGTGGTGGGAGGGGTGGCTTAGGATATACTAACATGTAAAGTAAGCTGTGTAGAAGAGCAGTTCTGTGTGCTGAACATTCAGGGATGTTCAGGTCCTCACTGGTCAGGTGAAATAACCAGCATAAGCCCAGCCTCCTCTGAGTGTACCTGGCATCTACTGCCTGCCGCAATCCCCAACATTACCTTCCTATAACAGACAGCTTGGTGAGTTGTTGGTCCATGTGTCAGCTGTTCCCACTATTGTGGGAAGTGCCCCCAGGCCCTGTGCATGGAGGTACAGGACTGGGAAGTTCTCTGATGTCTGGTCATTGGATCCTTACTTCTGCCTGCCTCAAGCTGGAGCGGACATCAAGGAAATGCAGAACCAGACATTCCAGGACTGTTACAGCAGCAAGTTCCTGAGCCACTGGGACCAGATCACCCGGGTCAAGAAGCCGGTCATTGCAGCTGTCAATGGTTATGCTGTAAGTATCAGCCCCAGAGGTCTCCTGTGCAAGGTGGAAGGAACTATGCTTGTGTAAATAAAGTATAGCAAAGATCCGGGTCTTTAAAGGGCCCATGGTGTCTTTTGGTAATTGCTTTGTTTGAAGGAGGCTCATTGACTAATTCCCAGGTGTGTTAATGAGCTTTTCTGTTTCTGTTCAATTGCTACAGTGGCTATACTACACGTGTGAAGGCTGTGAGTACTTTGTCTGTGTGCACACTAGGGTTCCTGCTTCACTAGGCCATTGAGAAATGCAGGACTAGTGGAAAAAAAACCTGTAATTATTACACATGCTGATTATTTAGTGAAACCCGCCCCTGGGGTGGTCAGCTACCCACATTCACGCCCTTGTCCTGTCTAGCTGATTTTGAGTCACTGTGTTAGGCTGAGTTATTCACCACAAAGCCAAAAGTCTTTACTGCCTGGCCCTTTGCATAAAAGTCTACAAGCCCTTGGTAAGCAGCATCTCTCTTATATTTATTCTACCACTTTAATCTAGTTTTGTCCTGCTAGGTTAACATTTGCTGTTATCTGACTCTGTTTCATGGTTTTAGAAAAGTTCCTTAAGCAAATAGAGTGATTTTTCTGCCTGGGATCCTCTGGTAAAATCCACCGGCTTATGAACATTTTTTTTTTTCAGCTTGGTGGGGGTTGTGAACTTGCCATGATGTGTGATATCATCTATGCCGGTGAGAAAGCCCAGTTTGGACAGCCAGAAATCCTGCTGGGGACCATCCCAGGTGAGACTGTGTGAGCTGTAACAAGGCAAGCCTGAGTCTCAGCACCATGGCTTGCATCCAAACACAGGCCCCAGATGGACAGCTCTTGACTGTTCGGTTTTCTCTCTGCCAACTAGAACCTGAAAGACAGAACAGATGAAGCTCAGCACAGTCTGTGAGCTTCAGGCCATGTCCAGCTCTTATGAATATACAGATCCTGAATCTGACAATGCCACACGTAGTGGGCACTGGCTTTTAGCCACAGCGGTTCTCTCCTGCTCATGTTTCATATACCCTTAAGAGTTTTGTACACCCAGAGCTTGGGAGAAAGATGAGTAGCCATGGGCCTGCACCGAAAACTCTGTCCCATATGACTCTGGCTCTGTACACTCCTATGTCGTTGGCCTTCCTGAGTTCAGCACATCAGACTGTGGAATTCTCACTCCCCACTGCCTGGGAAAGCTCTGAGATGTTGAGAAAGCAATCCCATTGCTTGGGGGTGGGGGTGGGGCAGAAAGGGCCACCTGCTAGATCTGGCAGGAGAAGGTAAACACTCAAAGAGAAAAGACTTGAGCCCTCAGGAAAGAGACCTCACTCAGAGAGGAGGCCTCCACTGCTCTCTGGGTTTAACCAGGCTTGTTCTGAGATCCTGGACAGTGGGTTCAATATCGTTATTTAGGTCTGTAGAGAAGATGACTGATGCTGGGATTTGGTCCAGCATATGCTTTCAGGGAGACCTAGAACCTTCTAGGATGGTGGGGAAAGAGCCAATCTAATTTTTATTTCTTCCTTTTTAATGCTGAGAAGGAACCCAGGGCCTTGTGCATGCTAAACCTGTCACTGGGCTGCATCCCAGACCTGAGTTTCTTCTCAATGTCACTTGACAAAGAGCCACTAAGACCACAAATCTCTCCCTGTAGGTGCAGGGGGCACTCAGAGACTTACTCGTGCGGTTGGCAAGTCACTAGCAATGGAGATGGTCCTCACTGGTGACCGCATTTCAGCCCAGGATGCCAAGCAAGCAGGTGGTGTCTAATGTTGTGAGCTGGGGAAGACTTGGGCTGTATTTGGTGTCCCCATGGGTAACTGGCCTTAGAGCCCTAAGGTTCTGGCATTGGGTTTTATATCTTGAAATATATTATGCACAAGAGAGTGGCAACATATGTTTAGGTTAGAAATAATAACATCACTTCCTGATGGGCGATGGTGGCACACGCCTTTAATCCCAGCACTTGGGAGGCAAAGGCTGGTGGATCTCTGTGAGTTCGAGGCCAGCCTAGTCTACAGAGTGAGTTCCAGGACAGGCTCCAAAGCTAAAGAGAAACCCTGTCTTAAAAAAACCAAAAAGAAAACAAAACAAAACATCTCTTCCCACTGCCCTTTGAAGGCCCTTAAAGGCCAGCCCTTTCCCTGCCTTGGCAGTGACCATAAACCTCAGGTTCTCTGTGCCATTTGATCCTGTAGAGAGCATGGCCTGTGTAACTTAGAGTTTAGGGACTGCAACCTAGCAGTGGAGAGCACAGAGTCACCCACTATTGGGGATAGCCATCCCTTGTTTAGGCCCCAGAGGACTTGCCTCTCGGTGTCATTGGGTTCTAGAGGAAGTGGACGATGCTATTCCTGCATGCTATTCATACTTTTCATATTTTAGGTCTTGTAAGCAAGATTTTTCCTGTTGAAACACTGGTTGAAGAGGCTATCCAATGTGCAGAAAAAATTGCCAGCAATTCCAAAATTATAGTAGCCATGGCGAAAGAATCTGTGAATGCAGGTAGGGGTCTGCTGGGAAAAGAAAATGGGAAGAGTCCACAGGACTGCGTAGGTGAAGTTGTGAGGTTCCAGATTACCCCACCTTGTCCCAGGCAGCAATGGGAAAGTTCTCGGAATTGTAGTTTGCCATAGTGTTCCAGGTTTTGGTCACTCAAACGTCTGTCAAGATTCTCTGAGTATCTCTTTATACCAAGACCCAAGACTGGGCCAGGCCTAGGACATAATGGCGATGCAGTGTCAGGCAAGACCAAGAATGGAGCCACAGCCCCTGAAGTCACTGGTCTGTGGTTCAACGGAAAGCGTCTCCAAGGACCTGGAGCCCATGCCCTGGTTATGCAAATGGGCTGTAGCCTGGTGTCTACAGTGGCATAGCTCGTGAGAAGCATCTTTGTCAGCTCTCAGCTCATTCCTCAGAGCTGCCTCATCCTTTTCCTTCTTCTTCTCTTTAAACATACTCATTTATTTCTTTACTTCACATTTTAATTTATTGAGGGGTTATCCCATGGTGCACATGTGAAGGTCAGGAAATAATTTGAGGAGTCAGTTGTCTTCTTCACCATATAGGTTCCAGAGATTGAATTCCAGTTGTTATTAGGCTTGGCAACGAGGGCCTTTATCCACTGAGCCATCTGGCTGAGCCCTTTGTTTGGATTATGAGGCGAGGTCTTACTCTATCACTGAAGCTGTCCTCAAACTCTGGATCCACCTCCCTCAGTTGCTAGGATTGGACGCATGTATCACCACACCAAGCTTGGAGTCTTGTAGCTAGAGTTTTCCTGCCTTGCCCACAGTCAGTACAAATCTTTGTCACCCGCCAGTCCCACAGCCACTCAGACCCAACCAAGTAAACACAGAGACATATTGCATACAAACTGTATGGCCGTGGCAGGCTTCTTGCTAACTGTTCTTATAGCTTAAATTAATCCATTTCCTAAATCTATACCTTGCCACGTGGCTCGTGGCTTACCGGCATCTTCACATGCTGCTTGTCCTGGCGGCGGCTGGCAGTTACTCCTTCTGCCTTCCTGTTCTTTCTTTTCTCCTCTCTGTTAGTCCTACCTATACTTCCTGCCTAGCCACTGGCCAATCAGTGTTTTGTTTATTGACCAATCAGAGCAATTTGACACACAGACCATCCCACAGCAGAGTCTTTTTTTAAAAAATACATTTAGTTATTTATTAACATGTGTGTGGATTTATATACATGTGTGTATGTATGTGGGGGTGTGTGCCTTTCACTAGAGAGCCTTTGGAGGGCTTGGGGTTGTTCAGAGGGTCACCAGTCTGACTCAAGTTTTGGTTTTAGTAAATTAGAGGCTTTTTATTAAAAAGAGACTGGCCAGGACCAAACCTGAGAGAATTCTCTAGGTAAGACCTGATTTTGTAACAGACATCCAGCAGGTGCCTCAGCTGTCCAAGCAAGCGTTTCATACAAAAGCAGAAATTAGCAGTTAGCCTGTTTAATCTTGTGACCAATAGGTATAAGACCTACAAGGTAATAACAGAGCAGGAGTTAAAAGGATTTGTGGGATACCCAGCTTGTTAAATAGGTACAAAGACCTGAATGGAGTTTTTGTGGTTGTTTCAAAGATTTTACTTATTTTTATTTTATGTGAATGAGTGTTCAGCTGCATATATGTGTGTATATCACACATGTACATGGTGCAGCGGAGGACATGGAACCCCTTGGAACTTGAGCTACAGACAGCTGTGTGCTTCCCTGTGGGTTCTAGGGTTCTAGGAAGGGAACCTGGGTTCTCTGCAAGAGCGCAAGTGCTCTTAGCCACTGAATCATCTCTCCAGCCCCAGGAATGGAGTCTTAATGTCATAGTTTATCTCAGTATTTGGAATGGCACTGTGTTTCTGCTCAGTGTCACATGTAGAGCCAGCTTAGGGCAAAAGATGTGACCTAGAAAGGTTGCTGCTACCTCCAGAGGGGCCACCAGCCCTTCGGGGTTGCTGCTGGCCATGATCAGATGTGCTGGTGTTTAAAGAGCCAGCTGTGTGTGGAACACATAGGGAGCACCTGAGGCTTCTAGAAAGATCACAGCGACAGTCACAGCTTGGTCTTCCACATCCGTGTTCCCCTAGACAGAGTTCTGCACTGGAAAAGAAGGCGCAGAGCAGATGCTGTCCCTGCCGCCTAGCTGTTCTCCTCCATTCTTCATGCTTTACTGGGCTTCTGTGTTCTGTTTTATCAGCCACTTCAGGTCCTCATGGCTGGACAGGTTCTGCTATTTGTCCTTTGTCCATTTCTGGTGCCACCAAGGTGTTTGGGAGGCCCAAGAGAGCAGTTTGTTTCCATGGCTACCTCAGCATGGGCCGTGCATGTGAGAAGTGGGGAGAGCCGAATCAGCATGGGGGCCACACAGCCTGTAGCCCTCTCTGTGGATCACAGTCAGCCCGGCATGGGTGCCCCCACATTCAGCACTTCAGTTTGTAACTCCGGGGCTTCTTTTTCAGCCTTTGAAATGACCTTAACAGAAGGAAATAAGCTGGAGAAGAAGCTCTTCTATTCTACCTTTGCCACTGTGAGTAACAAGTATCCTGCTTAGGATTCGAGTTCCTTTCTGTTGCAGAAGCTGTAGAGAATTTCTTACTGCAAAAGGGCCCCGTGAATTACACCACTAAACAGCAGCTTCTGTATTTAAAGTGGAATTTGTAGCTGGGCACAGTAATTCCAAAACTTAGGAGCCAGGGGACAAGGAGAATTGCTTGAGACCAGGAGTTTGAGACCAGCCCGTGAACACACAAAGCAACCATCTCCAAATATTATTTATCCTGTATGTATACCTGTTTTGCCTGCATGTATGTAAATATACTGCATGCATGTCTGGTGCCTGCGGAGACCAGAAAAGGGCCCTGGATACCTTGGAACTGAAGTTACAGACTGTGGTGAGCCACCGTAGAAGTGTTGGGAACCAAACCCAGATCCTATTCAAGAGTAACAAGTGCTTTGAACTGCTGGGCCATCTCTAACTACTATCCCACAACCCTATTTATTTTATTTTATTTATTTATTTGTTTTTGAGACAGGGTCTCATTATGTAGCCCTGGCTAGCCTGGAACTCAGTATGTAAACCATACTGGCCTTGAACACGTAGAACTCTACCTGTCCCAGCCTCCTGAATGCTGAGATTAAAGGAGTATGCCACCATGTTTGGCTACAGTTCACCTCTTATCAAAAGCTCATATCTAGAGTCTTCTGATCATCAGGTGCATTATCCATTGTACCACCGGTCCGGTGCTAAGTGTTTTATTTAAAAAAAAAAAAAGTTAAGAAGCTGAAAAACTGGCTCAGCATTTAAGAGCATGTACTAGTCTTCCAGAGGACCTGAGTTCACTTGCCAGCACCCACATCAGATGGCTCACAGTCACCTGCAGCTCCAGCTCCAGAATGATATCACACCTTTGCTCTCTGTGCTGCATCTGCACTTATCTGCACACACTCATCACACACACACACACACACACACACACACACACACACACACACACTTACAATTTTTAAAAAGCTTTTAAATGGTTTGGGCCCCTAGGGAAGAATTGAAGGTGTGTGCACATAGTGTGTCCACAGGCTAGGGAAGAGGCAGGTGTAAAGCAGAGTTCTGTTGCTGCCCCACAGCTCTGACAGTTTCCCAGCTCAGACCCCGCCAGATCCAGAGGTGCTGTGAACACGAGTTAATGGTGCTCGTGTCATGGCTCCCGATGGACTGTGTCCTGGGTGGTATACATCCCCCGTCCCCAAGCATAGCACTGTTTGTGGGGAATCCCATCTTTCATGGGCTGCTGGTGGGCACACTGCAAAACCACCGTCCTATCGATGAGCTTGGAAAGCAGGCAAGGAGGAGGATGGAAGACCACCTTGAGATGCAGGCTATCAGCCGAGGGGCTTACCAGGAAGATGCAAACTTCACCTCCCTTCTTCCTTTTCCTGCCAGAATGACCGGAGAGAAGGAATGGCCGCATTTGTGGAGAAGAGGAAGGCCAACTTCAAAGACCACTGAGAGCTGGCAGCTGAGCCTTGTGTGGCCCTGGAGAAGAACGCTCAGCCTGCCAGTTGAGAGGCAAATAAATTCTCCTGAAGGGTAGCGTAAGCCACAGTTCCTACCGCAGGCTTTGGGGCTGTGGCCACAGCTCAGGTACTCGTGGTGTGGCCTGCAACCTTCAACAGTGTTGGAAGTCAGTCTTTCACAGTCTTCTAAATCAGAAATCTGGGAAGCTTTCAAGGTGTCTTGATTTTTTACTTTTTTTTTACTTCACTTCAGGGACAGGTGCGTGCTTGGACCACCCGTACCCCTGTCCACTGTCCACAGTGTCCACAGTGCACAGCTCAGGATGTGGCTTCAAGTGGGAAGCAGCCCTGTCTGCTGATTCCAAGTGCAGAATAATTCAATTCAAAGTGACTGCTTCAGTTTAGCCTCAACTCACCTGTAGTAGTCTCTAAAGAATGAATGTGTTTTCTAATTATTATTGCTGTTATTTTCTTATAGATAGGGTCTCACTGTGTAACTCTGGCTGCCTGGAACTTACTATATACACCAGGCTGGCCTCGAACTCTCAGAGATCCACCTGCCTCTGCTTCCTGGTGCTGGGATTAAAGGTGTGGCCCACCACGGCCCGGCTGTTTGTGTGTTTTTAACTTTACCATCTCAACCACATCTGAGTACACCATCAAGCACTTTCGCATCAGAGTACAGCCATCCCCACCATCAGTCTCCAGGGCTTCATCTGCCCAAGCTAAAACTTCTCCACTAGACACGGACTCCCTCCCCCACTCCCCAGCCCCTGGCACCAGCATTTTTACTTTCCATGACAAGGTGATGACTTCAGGCTCCTCAGGAGTGGAATTAGAGTATTTGTTCTTTTGTGTGTTTGTTATTTCACCAGAACAAGGAAATGAACAACATCCCCCACCAAGTTCCTATGTTGACATCCTAAAAGTGGTGGTCCTAAAATGCTAGAAGGTGAGTGGGGTCATACAGTGGGTCTGTCAGACCCCCAAGGGAGCGCTTGCAAGCCCTTCCCTGTGGGGATGAAATGAGAAGGCATGAGGATGAGCCAGGAAGTCTCCCTTCACCAGACAGCAAATCTGCCTTGCTTCAACTTCTAGCCTCTAGAACTGCGAGAAGCAAGCCGTTAGGTTGTAGCGTGTTGAAGCCTAAACTAAGACAAATACCCTCTGAGTTTGTTCATGCTGTAGTACGTTTGTTTAAAGCCTAATGTTTGCTGGGCAGTGGTGGCTCACACCTTTAATCCCAGTGCGGGAGGCACAGGCAAACTTATCTCTGTGAGATCCGAGGCCAGCCTGGTCTACAGACTGTGTTCCAGGACAGCTGGGGCTACACAGAGGAATTCTGTCTTGAAAACAAAACAAATCAAAAACAGAAAAAGCCTGATGCTTTATGCTGAGATGAGGACATGCCATTCTCACAGTAATGTGATAGATCTCTCTTTTGGAAGCCATCTCAATATATTGCTCAATATATATTTGTCTTGAGCTCCTGGGTGCAGACAGTCGTGCTTCAGCCTTCCAGATAACTGACTACGGTTGTATACCACCACCCCCAGCCAGCTAATACATACGACCATGCCCAGGTTTGCATTGTCTGGGCTACCATGGACCAAGAGTAGGACAGCTGACCATCCACGCTAGCCCTAGCATTTCAGTGGGATGTACCCAGGGTCCCAAGATCTGCTCTGTCAGAGCTTCGGTGTGGGGAAATGACTGCCTATATGCTGTGGCAGTATGACGTCAGGGCTGTTCCGCAGCACCCTCAGCACCTGACAGTGTGAGAATGGAGATCTATAGGGAAGCAGTTTCCATCTGAACCTCAGGGCATTTGGGTAAAATGCACCTAGTGGGGAAAGTCTTTAATCCCAGGACTCAGAAGGCAGAGGCCAGCAGATCTCTGAGTTCAAGGGCAGTCTGGTCTACAGAGCAAGTTTCAGGCCAGCTGGGGCTACATCGTGAGATCCTGACTCAAGCTAACAAGGGGTTGGAGGGCTTGAGGGGTGACAGTTGAGGACTGTCTAAACTCCAGATGAACACATACATCATATCCAAGTATTCAGAGTTTGTTTTATGATGTTAACACACAACCCAGACCATGGTAACTGGCATGGTCACTACCCACGGCTCAACCAAAGCTCCCTATTCTGGAAGCAAAGTCTCAGGGCCTTTCTCCTGATGAAGCCCACTCTCCCCCAAGAAGAGGGCACTGGACTCCCTGAGACTAGAGTTACAGAGAGTTGTGAGCCACCGTGTGCTGGGGATCAAACCTGGGTCCTCTGGTGCTCTTAGCCATTGAAACATCTCTCCAGTCCCAATGTTCACTTATTAAACGTGGGCACACAGGGAAGTGTGTGTTAGCCATTGCTTGACCCACATTCTAGAAGGAACAAAAAGAGGAGGTGACCTCTCAATAGGGGAAATCTTGAAACTGAGGCAATTGAAACATTGGTTATTTGTTTTTAACTTTTTAAAAATGTATGAATGGCCGGGCGGTGGTGGCGGCGGCGGCGCACGCCTTTAATCCCAGCACTCGGGAGGCAGAGGCAGGAGGATCTCTGTGAGTTCAAGGCCAGCCTGTGCTACAGAGTGAGTTCCAGGAAAGGCACAAAGCTACACAGAGAAACCCTGTCTTAAAAAACCAAAAAAAAAAAAAAAAAAAAACCTTTTTTTTAAAAAAAAAAAAAAAAAAAAAAAAAAAAAAAAAAGTATGAATGTTTTCTCTGCGTTTGTGTCTGTGTACTAAGCATGTGCCTGGTGACTCAGAGGCCCGAAGAGGGCAATGGGTCCCTTGGAACTGGAGTTACAGGTGGTTGCGAGCCACCAAACCCCAGCCCTGTGGAAGAGAACCTGTGCTCTTACCCCAGGAGTCGTCTCCCCAACCTCTTGTTGGTTTCATTTTTGTGGGTGCACCGAGCACATACTGCAGCCATTTGTTCTGAAAGCTGGACCAGGGTTTAAGATGCTCCGTGGGAGACCTGTGTCAGCCCTGGGCCTAGCGTAGCCCACCCAGACCTGTGTGTGCTAGGTTCTCATTGGTTCCATCCCGGCAGGCCAGGAACCCACCCACAGCCACCAGCCTCAAGCTGGCCCTTGGCTCCAGAGAGTTCAAGACAATGGGACGTATGCAGACTGCCCCCCAAAAGGAGCTCCTCCAAGCCCTGGTGAAGCTCTCGGCTATTTTAAACTATTTGGTCTCTGACTCCAGTACCATTTAGGGGTTCTGGTTTGGTTTTGCCTCTATACGGGCTCGCCTCCTGCACAGGCCCTAATCCCATGAAGCCACTCACAAACCGAAGCAGAAAGCTCACTTCTCACCCTTCACACATCACTGCTACCAAGTTGGGCAGCAGTGGCCATACCAGGGCCATCTGGGCTGGGGCACCAGAGATCCTAGGGCCAAGGCTGTGCCTGACCTGTTTTCGAAGGTGCTTCTCGGGCATTTTTGTCCTTCCCACACGGACTTACTTCCTGAACTTTCCCACAATCTGCCAGTCCTCAGAGATTTGCGCGTCACCCCAGAACCAAGGGCCTAACTGCGGCTCTCCAGATGTTGGAACCACCTCTCCTCTGGCCCCGCCCCAATCCACGTGACACCGCCCTGCCCACAACTCCCGCCCACCACCAGTTCTGCAGCTATGGTTGCGCTCAAGGGCATCCCGAAAGTGCTGTCCCCGGAGCTGCTATTTGCGCTTGCGCGGATGGGGCATGGAGACGAGATTGGTGAGCTTGTAGAGAGCCGGCAGTGCGGACTTCTTAGCACTTAGCGATCCGCACCGGGAGCGCTTGACCAGCAGGGTCCAGGAAAGGCTGGGGACACTGCCATAGTCACCTTGCCCTTGGGAACAGGAAGCCATCCAGCTGCTTCAGGAAAGAGCCGAGCTGAGGCCTACCATTGGCCCAGGCCACAGAACTCTGAAAAGGGCAAATCAGGTTCCAAGTTCAGCAGCAGGGTAGTTCCCAGACTGCCCCGAGGTCTGCTGGGTTCTCTGTCCCTGGCCTGGTGCCCTAGGGCAAGGCAGGAGAGCCAGAAGCTGGGGTGAAACTATTGGTTCCTCCTTCCAGACACTGGTTTCATTGCCTCATTTTTTTTTTCCACTGGGATAATAGGGTGACCTGTCCCCACTAACTGGAGTGGAAGGAATATACTGGCCGGGCATGTGGACATCCCACATGGTGGACTGTGCTGATAATGTACAAGGGTTTGTGGCTTTGTGACATGTGAGCTGACCATCTGGGAGGGAGAACCGCACTGACTAGAAACGGTTTTCCCCTTCTCTCCCTTCAGTTCTTGCAGATGCGAACTTCCCTACTTCCTCCATCTGCCAGTGCGGGCCTGTAGAGATCCGAGCAGATGGTGAGCACCATAGGCGGACACCGTCCTGGTTCTGTGACCTGTCTGTCCTGGCCCCTCCTTCCTGTGGACTGGTTGCTGACTGTGGCCCACAAATGACAATTTTAGACAGGTAGGGTTACAGGTCAGGGTGAGAGCAGAAGCCTGACCCCAGCTCTGCCCTCCTAGGTCTGGACATCCCACAGCTCCTGGAGGCTGTGCTGCGGCTGCTGCCCCTGGACACCTATGTGGAAAGCCCGGTGAGGAGCAAAAGCTGTGCTGCTGATCTGGGCCTCACTTTCCTCTCTGCCAGACTTCATATGACCATGTGTCCCCTAAGGGCACCCTCCCTCAGAGGAGACCCGGAGGTGCCTAGGGCCACAGAGCTGATCCCTCTCTCCCCAGGCTGCTGTCATGGAACTAGTGCCCAGTGACAAGGAGAGGGGCCTGCAGACCCCAATATGGAACCGTTATGAATCCCTGCTGCTCAAAGCTGACTGCAAGGTGAGCACAGCCCCAGTCATGGGACCCTCTATCTCCTGGTGGCTCAGGAAGAAGGAACCAAGGGCATGGAGATGGCAGAAGACACACCCATTCTCCCTAAGGAGCCATTGGCAGGCCTGAGCAGGACCAACTTGAGGATTCCTGTCCTGGGCAGGGGACTTCCAGGGTAGTTTAGAGGGTCTAGACAGCAGTTCTCAACATGTGGGTCATCAGGAAACAGAGATATTTACATTAGGATTCATAACAGTAGTATGAAGTAGCAACGAAAATAATTTTATGGTTGGGAGTCACTTCAACAAGAGGAACGGTATTAAAGGGTGGCAGCATTAGGAAGGTTGAGAACCGCTGCTCTAGAAGCTGGCTGAGCTGAGTCCACATCTGGCAGGCACCTTGTCCATCACAGACTCAGACAGAGATATGAAAGATGCCCCCTCGTCCCTGGTTCCCTGAGACCCCAGGAGCATCAGGAGAACCAGAGGAATGGAGCTTAGAGGACCAAAGGGTTCCGTTGCTGCTACCTCCTAACTATTTCCTGATAGGGTACTCGACTCAGGAGTCCACCCGGAGGACTTTCAGGCAAGCTCTCTCCAACATGCCATTTTGTCTTCCAGAAAGCTCTGATGAAGATAGAGAGATTTGAATTTTATGAACGTGCAAAAAAGGCATTTGCTGTTGTTGCAACTGGGTGAGTTTCTGCTGCATCCAGGTGACTTGGGCAAGTCCTTAGCCAGGTCCCTGGGAACTGCCTCCACTTCTGCTTTGCCCAGAAAGAAAAGAGGGATTTGGGTGGCAGAGCTCCTGGACATTGTTGAGCAGGAGGGACAGAAGCAGAAAAGGGCAAAGTTAGAATCTCGGCACCCTGACCCTCCCGCAGGGAGACGGCACTCTATGGAAACATCATCCTCAAGAAGGGGACTCTTGACCTCGGACCCTGATAGAGACCACCTGAACCCAATCAGCAAGCCACCCCTTGACAGCACCCAGACCTGGACCCCAGCCTGGGGGTCAAGAGGTTGGCAGATCTTGAGAGACTCTGTTGACCCTGACAGAGATTTTCTTCTTCCCTGATTTGTGAAATTGAGAGGGGAGGGGAGAGCAGTCACTGTCAATCTTTAAAGGTTTTGTACTCTGGAAACCTGTCTTGTGGTGAGTTTCTGGGAGGCCATTAGCTTCCAAATAAGCACCTCCTCCCCAGCCTTGCTGAATCCTCAGGTGGAGAATCCACATGGGGAATAAAGCATGGGGCTGGTTTTGAGGGCTGGGAGCTGGGCAGGAGCTAGGCCTGGGTAGGAACCTGAGAGCTGGATTGGGGCTGTGGCTGTGGCCTGGGCCTCGGCAAAGGGCTAGGCTGGTCATTGATGTTGGGTAAGGTGCACAGCAGGGAGATGGATGTGGTTGCCCTGGATGTTTGTGGGGGTTGCGTATTTCTGCATTGCCCACTTGGGTTGCAACACATAGTGACTCTTGAGTAGGGAGGGCCAATCTGAGTTCTAGACCAGAGGGCAGAGCTGGGCTGGACACTTTAGATGGGAGGATGCTAACACTCAGAGATGACTGCTCAGCTGCTAGAGAGGGTGATGCTGTCCTCCCTGGTTCAAGGTCAGAGAGGTCTGGATCCCACCATGCCTATGAGCACCACTACCTATGCATGAGCAGCTGTTAAGCCCAGGAACTCAGATGCAACCTTGCTGCTCCGAGCTTTGAATCCTCAGTTGTCCCAGGTGGTAAAGGATCAATTGGGGCTCAGAATTGCAGAAGGAAGTAGCAAAATTGGAGGAGAGGAACTTAGGAGGGCCTGAAACAGTTTCCCTACTGAGTGCTTGGATGTGTCTGCACCACGTGTCTGCAGACTCTTGGTGAATGTTCATAGCAGCTTTGTCTGTACTAGCCAAACACTGCAGACAATCAAGAGTCGAGCAGGTGAGTAGACAGGCCCTATGATGTAGCTAGCAAGCGCTCTAAAAGGTTGAGCTATCTCCCCAGCCCCAGTTCTCCTTTAGGAGGAAATGCCCACAGAGCTTCCTGGCTCAGGCAAAGCTGGAAAGAAACTTGGCCGCGATAATATCCTGGGCAGGTAGATGCGTTTGGTCCTAATAAGACACTGGGCCCTTGGAACCCCAGCATCTGCAGGTCCTCTGCTTAGATCCAGGGGATATGGAGGTGGGACAGCTCAAATTTTAACCATGGATCTGACCTCACTGGCACTGGACAGAGTGCTCACTGGGCACTGCTTCCTGACCACCTGCACCTGAATCTCTAACTTGATGGAGGAATGAAAGGTTTGGTAATAATCTCTATTGTCAACACTACTGGATTGAGAAGTGCCTAGAAAATTAATAAAGCACCCCAGGGTCAGTCTAGAGTGTCTCTAGAGAGGATTTGCCGTGCATGGGAAGACCTGCATGTTTCCAGGACTAGGCTAGGGGCCAGAAGTGATAAAGTGGGAAAGGAGAGCACCTGTGGTGTCCTTATGTGGGATTTGGTGCTACCTGGGACCTGGGTAGGATTTTGGCACCTCTGCTTTGCTGAGAAGGGACCGTGAATAGATTCATTTAGATTCGGATTCTTACCAGGATGGCAGGCGGAATACCCTGAGATGAGAACTGTGCCTGAGGTCACTGTCAGAGCCTTGCTATTCATCTTCAGGACCCTGGACTTGGAACGCTGGACTGTAATATGGAGACGCTAGATTTATCTATAACGTGGACTCATCTGTAGTGTGGGGGCAGTGGACTCAAGTAATATGAAGACCCCTGATTCATCTATGAGATGGAGCATTGGCTCCTGCTTCGTGGGGCTTAGAGGCTGGGGTGCACGTGAACCGTCATTCCTCCCACTCATGTACTTGGAGGGGTGGGGACATGAGACACACATGGAGTTCTAGGGTGCGTGAGATCAATAAATAACCTACATGGCTGCTTGGGGTTTGAGTGCATTGGGATGGAGAGCTGATGGCCTCTCTTAAGCTGAAAAATGTGTGGCTCTGTGGCCCCTAGTGCTTCCCTCCCACTGCAAGGGTGGGATTGGTAGTCACCCTGGTACCTATATGCCATGTGTGAGGTAATTCATCTTAGGTGCTTAGGCCTGAGTGAGGCCATGTGGACAGGCACCCCAGAAAGATCCAAGTGCTACCCAGAAAACTAGGACAGAAAGTATGTGTCCTGACTCACTCTTCTGAGCACCTACACCTGTGCGTACCTGTTTACCTACGTACCTGTCTGCATGTGTACCCATGCATATGCCCAGCCACATACCCCTAGACCTGTGCACACATGTAGCCATGTACCTGCCACCCCATATCTATGTGCTTATGTAGCTACCTACATACTCTGTGCAACTATACATGTGCATCACCTATATACATCTTTGTAACCATGTACCTGTTCATGCCTGTACCTATGTGTCTGAACATTTAGCTGTGCGTTTGTGCATGTGTGTACCTATACACATGTGATACCGTGTGCCTGTGTACCTATACACTCATCAACCTGAGTCCCACCTAACTTCATGCCCCTTCATCAAACATTCCTTTCTCAGCCTCTTCTGTGTGAATTCCAGCATAGGTTTCACTTCCCTGCTGAGACTGCTGCTGCTAACTGGTTCCCACACTTGACTGCTGACATAATATCACTTCATCCCCACATGCAGAGAGATGGGCCCAAGGAGGAGAACTGTTCATGAGCTGAATGTCAGCTAGACCCTGTGCTCCATAGAAAGCTTTTAGTGAGCCGTAAGTAGGGCAGTGATACTTCTTCCTCCTAACACAGCTGCTGTGCCCCGGGACTGCTGACCTTAAAGATACTCAGGGCTTCTAGCTGTTGGCAGGTGTTTATTTTTGCTAGCTGGAGAGAGTCAGTGGTCACAACAGTCTGGGCCTCAGAACAGGAGTGGGCGAGTGGTTAGGGCTATTCGGAGTCCTCCAGAGAGTGGAAGATGTGGTCAAGGTCCTCCTCTGGCCCCTGGAGCACCTGACGATACATCAGGGGCCATGGCTGGGGTACTTCCTCATCTTGGACCTCCTCATACATCGGATGGTGGATGCTGTCAAGATCTAGTTCCGGACCGTAATGAGGGTTCCGAAAACGGCTCAGGATGTCTTCAGTCTCCACCCAGCTCCTGGCGTCTGGGGAGAGACAGAAACAGATGTGGCCTCAGTCTCCCTCACAAGTTCCTCCTCGCTGGCCTTCTGTCCAAATGGCCCCCATGATGTGGCCTTGGTCCCACTCTGACCTGAACGCTTTTCCTCAGCAGCTGCAAGCTTCTGCTTGGGCACAGGCAGCAGTGCCCCAAGCTGGAGGTCCTTCTCCGGGGGCTCCACAGCTTTGGCACCCAGGACCCTGCCGGCATGAGTAGGGTAAGGTTCACATACAGGTGGTAGACATGGCCAGCCCCACTTCAGAAGACATTCTCTGCCCCCCCCCCCCCCCCCCCGGCAGCTGATGGACCTGGGAAGCTACTCCATACCCACCCACTTTATCAACTGCCCTGTAAGACCCAGGACGAGTACATGGCTTTGTGCCCCTAGCATCTCTAAAGCACTGGGTTCAGGGATGGGGTCTGAGAAGGTCAGAGCCTTCCCTGGGCAGGGTCCTCAAGGGCGAGGGAGGTAATATAGTATGCTGTTCTAAAACTTAGTTCATTGGAGGCTGCAGGGAGAACTGAGTCTGGGAGATGGCCAGGAGTCCTGGGGAGATGACCAGGAGTTCCTGGGAGATGGCTTGGGGTCCTTGGGAGATGGCCTGGGGCTCCCGGGAGGGAACTCCCAAGGAGGCATCTGTAGGATTTGAGTATCACCTCCTAAAAGCTTCTGAACAGCCATGTTCTCCATCCCCCACTGCACCAGGCCACACTTGCCTTCTGGGGCACTTACTTCTCTGTTTCCTGCTCAAGGATCACATGTTTGCCTTTGGTCTTGACAGGGACCTAGGAGAGTAAGTCACAGGTGGAGATTTTGCCAGTTAGTAGCCCAAGGTTGGAAGACACCCAGGGAGAGGCCACTCTTAGACCCACATACAGGCAGTGGAATAAAAGTCACTGTGGCTATCAGGATTACAGGTAGGGAATTTAAGACCCCAGCCTGTCCCTGAATGGCCAGCCTACCTGAAAACCTAGCCAGCTTGGGAGAAAGTAGAGTTCTTTAGCAGGTGCCTGGGGCTCACCTTGGACTCTGCACTCTCACTACACTCTGGATTTTTGCATCAGTTAAAGCTGTGCTTGCCCCTCCCAAATCCTAGCTAGTGGCCCAGAAGGTAGTCAGCTCCTCTGAATTTAACACCTTTGAGACGAAGTACCAGGGGAAGTGACGCAAAGGACGACCCTGAGGAAGTGACCAGCTCTAAGAAACTGTGGATGGCTGAGAAGGGTGGGCCTTCCTCATCCTCTTTCACAGCCACGTGTGCAGACTGAGTGGACTTGGCCCAGAGCAAGCTCAGTTCATTTCATACTGTGCCCTCTGTTAGCAGTCTAGACCACACCCTCAGTGAGTATGCCAGGCTAAGTATGGAGAAGACTCACCTCACACAGGGTCTTCCGAGGTGTTTTCAACGTCCATGTCCCCACCTCTAATCTGTGTCATGAAACCCATATCCTTCCATCCTGGGGTCATCTGAGTGTCATAGAGACCCATGTCCCTACCTGGTAACATGGGTGCCATGGAGGACCATGTTCCCTCATCCTGGGATCACCTGGGTGTCATGGAGATTCACGTCCCCATGTGGTTACATGGGTGTGATGGAGACCCATATCCTTTGGGTCACTTGGATGTTATGGAAGCCCATATCCTCACCTAGTAACCTGAGTGTCATGGAAATTGGTCCACTAGACCCCAGAAGGGTCCATGCCCTTCTCTTCCTGAGGCCCCTCCTCAATGCTCACATGGTGCAGCTACCACATTCACCACATGGCCTCTGCCCTGCCTCCCCTCTCCTTGCCCAGCTTGGGGTGGAAAAAGAGAGGCCCTTTCCAATACTCCATGCTAACTGGGGCAGAGGTTGGCAGCCAGAGATGGGGCGAGGTAGAGGGGCCCCTGCATACCTGGAGTGCTGGAATTGCCCCTGCCTCCTGCAGCAGCACAGCCACCAGACAGGTGGCCAGGAGAAACCTAGGGGACCAGAGAAGGAATGTGAGGTGGTGAGGGGTCACCTCAACTCCTGATGCTCCAGTCAAGACCTACTGGGGCTGGTGGCATGTGTCTTGGACAGAGAGACCAAAGGTAGGTCCCTGCTAATCCAATGGTAGATCTTGACTTTGATCTCACAGGAAAGGACCTGTAGGCAGTACATTCAAGCAAGACGCTCAGGGCACTCCTGCTCCATGTCTCGAGGCCAAGTTCTCTACCTGGGGCCAAGATACCCCATGCCCTAGGCAGATCCTACTGTGACAGGACACTGGCAGTCAGTGCTGAGGATTCCAGAGGTCATACAAGGACACACATGTGGGCCTGCACACACCTGTGCATGACAACATCGACAGGATGGATGGAGGCCCTAGCAATGCCATGCCACAACACCCCTGAGGCCACAACCCATGGTATTGGGGGTAGGGTAGCTTCTAGAAGGCTCTCAGGTGGCCAGTAGCCCCATCATGCAGACAGAAGGAATGGCAGGTATTTCTGAACATGCGATTGTAGAAAGGTATTCATGTGTGTGAAGCATGCATGTGTTTATGTTATATGATATGCATGTGTATGCATGCATGTGCATGGGATGCGTGTGTGTGTGTGTGTGTGTGTGTGTGTGTGTGTGTGTGTGTGTGTGTGTAAGCCTCAAAGAAACCTTCTCTCTTCTCTGTGATTCAGCACTTTGTGGTAGGTGCTGGGGAATGTCTTTCTGTATGCTGTGAATATGTGTTGCTCTGATTGGTTGATAAATAAAGCTGCATTGGCTTACGGCAAGGCAGCTTAGAGGCAGGAGGGAAATTCAAGCAAAGATACAGGAAAGAGACAGGCAGGAGGAGAGACGCCAGCCCCAGCCAAAGGAGCAGCACGATGCCAGCAGACTGGTGAAGCCACAGAACACATGGCAAAACATAGATTAACAGAAATGGGTTAATTTAAGGTATAAGAACTAGCTAGCAAGAGGCCTGCCGTAGGCCATACAATTGGTGGTTAATATTAAGCCTCTGAATGATTATTTCCTAAGTGGCTGCAGGACCGCAGGGCCGGGCAGGACCTGAGAAAACTTCCTACTACATTAGGGGTCAAAAGACAGCAGGTGGGGATCTGGCCAGATAGGGCTGAGTAGCCCTGTCTTACCTTAGAGCCACTAGACAGAGGCCTGTTTGTACGCTGGGCAGAGAGATGAACGTGGAGAACCTCATGCTAGCCTTTTGTCCTCTCTCTCCTCTACCTCCATGATAATTCAGGTCCTACAGGGGCCCAAGGTCTCCCTGAAAATTAAGCCCTAGCTTCTGGGTGACCAACTCTCAGGTTGCCTGATTCCTGCCCTGCCTATACTCCCACCAGCCCTCAAAGGCCTACTACATATTCCCCTGCCTCCCCTCCCCTGCCACTGTCCCCTTTCTTTTGGGCCATCACAGCCTCGAATTGTTGCCTCTTCCCAGGGGGGTTTTAGGATCTAATGTTCTACTGGCCTAGGGACCCCATGGGACAACTCACCCCCATGCATATCTGGGGGCCACTAGGGCTGCTCTTATAGGTAAATCCTGGATTACAGACCTGAGGGTGAGTGTTTTACAGAAAAGAGAGGGTATTTCCCTCCCTTCCTCCCTCCCTCCCTCCCTCCCTCCCTCCCTCCTTCCCTCCTTCCCTCCTCCCCTCCTTCCCTCCCTCCCTCCCTCCCTCCCTCCCTCCATCCTTTCATCCTTCCTCCCTTTGTTCCCCTAAGATACTCTCCTGGAATCAGGCTTCAGATGGGGATGGACTGACACCCAGGGCCTATCTCTAAGCCAGAGCTCCTGGATTCAGACCCAGTGCGACCCTAACCACACAGCCAGGCCCACCCTGGCCAGTGCCCAGCTGCCAACTTTTATGGGTAGGAAAGTTAGGACCCAGGGGCCATGGCATCACCTCTTCATGACTGGGGCTCCCTCTCGGTGCTGAGGAGCTCTAGGCGAGAAGCTGCAGATTCCAGTGTCCAGGTGCCTGGTCCTCTTCCTCCCAACCCTGGCTGCTTAGGATTTTATTGCCCCTTTGTGGGTGTGTCTGACCAGAGGTCAGGGGCCAGCGATCACTTAGCCGAAGGCCGCCCTGCCCCACCATATAACTTGAGCAGTGAGCACAGACTGAGCCACCGGGAGACTTTTGATCTCTTACCTGTCAGTTCTACCATGACCTGCCCACTTTAGCACCAGATCTCCCACCACAGCACCACTGGCTCCTGTTCCCTCTGGCCACCGTAGCTGAAGTCTTCTGCATAGGTAGACACTTGGCTCTGTGCCTTCAAATGTTACCCCTCAGCCCCCTATAGGGTTAAGCTTCAGACTGACAGCCACAATACCACTGTAGCTGAGTGTCCCCAGGGCTGGCTCAGGGTGGGGATTCTACAGGATAGAGTAAAGATCATAAAAATGCCAGGCTCTGCAAGGCTTCTTGGCCCCACCCCCTTCTTTTGGGACTCCGGGATAAAGCAGTTGTCACTCCAAGAAAGAGCTGCCCCTTGGGGCGCTCCCACCAAACCAAGGATAAGTGGGCACATCACCTTCAGAAAAACTCAGGGAACTGGTGTCCCCTGGTGGCGATAGGCAGTCACTGCAAATCGAGCTTCAGGGAGACCCAAAAGTAAGGAAGCCATCTGGCCTGGGTGTGCCCCAGACTGTTGAAATTCAAAGAGACAATATTGAGAAACCACTTGAATTCACAGTGCCAGAGATACGTTTATAACAATCTTCCTCAGAGTGATGGGGACAGGCAGCAGCACTGGAAGAAGGCACATGCCATTCCACCCTAGTCCAACGCTCCCTCTGTGACTCCAAGGTTACCTTGTGTGGTGATTTCAATGAGAATGCCCCCTGCATTGGCTTGTATATTTTAATACCTTGGCCCCAGTTGGTGGAACTGTTTCAGAAGGATTAAGAGGTGCGGCCTTGTTGGGGGAGCTGTGTCACTGAGGGTGGGCTTTGAGGTTTATAATGCCCATGCCATTCCCAGTTGTCTCTCTCTCCTTCTCCTTTTCCTCCCTCCCCGCGACTCTTTCTCTCTGTTGTAGGAATCTAACAAAGTCACTGTATCTAGGGTAAACATTAGAATGAATACTTGTTTCTAGATGTAGTTTGACCTTGAAGAAATCATTGTGGAAAACAGTGACTGTTTTCCATGGTTTATAGAATTATTTTTCTGAGCGAGCTTTACAGCCTTTGTTTGACAATGGCCATAAGGCACTTCTGGCACACCTGAACCTCTTGGATTATTGGGTACTGCAAATGGTACACAGGAAGGACTGGAGTGTCAGGGATGTGATGTTTTCCTTCAGAAAAATGGAAAGATTAGATCAGGGACTTTGGCATGAAGAATTCGTTTACCCAAAAAGCAACTTCGTGTGACAATCCATAAATACACCTTTGCATCACTGTTTAAGGTTGTTCCTCCCTGTTGCCACACAGGCCTAAAGAATCCATCTGGGAGTGATCTCCTTCTTCTGCCAACACACACACAACACAGAATGCCCGGTATTTGACACCCAAATGAATATCTTAATATAATTACTGATTTTCAACATGCAGAAGGAGTTGTGTTACATATAGAAATGGCTGAACTTATTCCTGATAATTCGGAATTAACTTTATTATTTATACAACTGCAACAGGCAATCTCAGAAAGACATTACCCAATTTATATTACTCATTCATCTCATACTGTATTAACAAAAGGAAATAAAAAGGTTGATCAACTATTAATAAAAATGTATTAAAAGCTTCAAAATTTCATTAAAACATCATGTTAATAGTAAAGGCTTGAAAATTATTTCATAACCTGATGATAAACTAAAAAAAATATAAAAAAAACAGTCCTACTTGTTCTTTACATAATCAAATTCCTTTACCTGTAGGAAGTAATCCTAAGGACACTAAAAAAATAAAGTTTGACAAATGGATGTATTTCACTTAACAAATTTTTTTAATTAAAATATATTCATCATACTATTGATACACACTCTGGATTTCAATGGACATCTGCCTTAGGTTCTGAAAAGGCTGATTGTATAATTACACATCTATTAAAGACAATGACTATAATGGACACACTGATACAAATTAAAACTGATAATGCTCCTGCTTATCATCCAGTAAAAAACAATTTTTTACACGTTGTAACATAAAACACTTTACAGTAATACCATATAATCCTACAGGACAAACAATTGTTAAAGTAGCTAATCACTCACACTCTAAAAGAGATGCTTTGTAAGCAGAAGGGGGATGCGAGGGTTCCCAGGGATAGATTACATAATGCTTTACTAACTTTAAATTTTTTAAATACTAATGAAGCAGAGACAACAGCTGCTGAAAGGCATTGAATCATAAAAATCTGCTGGACTGAGTCAGCCTGTGTGCTACATGGATGTTTTCACATCAGAATGGAAACCAGGGAAGGTGTTATGATGGAGCTGAAGTTATGCTTATGTTTCTGTAGAGACAAAAAGTTGTGGAAGAAAGAGATACAGGAAGCCCTTAAGGCAGACATCTGGTCCTCCTACCTGGGACAGCTTAAGAAATTGACTGAGCAAGGAGAAGCAATAGTTTATCTGGCTAGGAAACCTTTGAGTGCTACAACTTTGTGCCTTGCTCTGTTGTCTGTGGTAACTGTACAGGTAACAGGGACGAATCATACTTACTGGGCTTACATTCATAATACACCAATTAACAAGGGGTAAGTTGGGGAGATAGAGATATTCCTGTTGTGGTCAATGAATCCTCCCAGCTACCTTTGTTGTTGTTGCCTGGAGTCAGCCTCCAGCAGTGCAGCACTTGAAGGGAAATCCAGAGTTGGTCTACTGTGACTTTTTTATCTGAGGGGGTTAGGGGAAAGACACACACGCTCTCTTGATGGTTTCCTTTATTCTTCTGTATTCTCCTTTCTCTTATCTCTATCCAGAAATGTCCCTCTGTCTCTCTTGCTGTATTCCTTCTAACTCTCTTGATGTTCTCCCCCTAATTTTCCTCATTCTTGATGTTTTCCTTCTAACTTTATCTTTATTCTTCCTTGTTTCTCATTTTTGTTTTGTTTTGTTTTTTGAGACAGGGTTTCTCCGTAAAACAGTCCTGGCTGTCCTGGAACTCACTCTGCAGACCAGGCTGGCCTCGAACTCACAGAGATCCGCCTGCATCTGCCTCCTGAGTGCTGGGATTAAAGGCTGGCCAGCTTTTATTTCTTATTCTTGATGTTTTCCTTCTAAGTCCTTCTAATTCTATCTTTATTCTTTCCCTTCCAGCTTATATACCCCAGCAAAATCTTTCAGGAAATATAAAAATTACAATGTGGTTACAGTCTATTTTTCAAGTGAATGATTACAATGAACACAAGTAAAAAACAGCATGTTTTCCATATCCCTTAATATGATTAAACATTTTATGTATTATAGGTGAAAAACAAATTATCCCAAGAACCCACATACATTCGTACCCAAGCAACTTGTTATAGATTAACAGAGTGTGAGCAAGCAAGGTATTTTTTTACTGGCAGGCTACATTTTGCAGTTAAAAAGAAAGGACCCAATCACTTTACTACTTATCTTGAAAGGTAATCTTACAAGGAATTTTAAAGGAATCACAAACCTAAACTTTTATACATGAAAAACAATCAGTCAGCTCTACTTTAAATCTTTAGGGTATGTACCCATTCATCAATAGTTTTTATATCAGGAGACTGAGGGCAGAAATGGATACAAGGAAATAATCATCACCTTTGGTCATCAACCAATCTTAGCAAGAAAGGCACGTCTGTTAATGATAATTGGGCTGCTTTGTTCTTGTTCCCTGATCTTAAAGAGTTCCTCACTCAACTATGTGCCTTTCTAGAACTTTAGATTGTCTTCTTGGGTTTTTCACCTCAAAGCTATTTGACAGAAACATCTTAGTCTTACTTTAAGTTACTTTCAAAGATTTGTTTCAGTTATGATGCACTATGAAACCTGTGAGCACATCTCCCAACTTTAAGATTAAAAGAATTTAAACTAGCTGGGCTACTGGGAATCAATCATTTTTCTTAATCATTAACCTAAGCCACAGTCTATACAGCTCCTCAATAGAAACTCATGTGTTCGAGCTGTGTGACACTTCCTTGTTTATATTTTTAATCATCAAAACTCTATTTAAACTAACATTATTATTATCAATTAGACAGTACAGCTTAAGAAGATATCATCTTCATAATAATCCACAGGTAAACATGCCCAGT